TGCCTAGGTTTCAACAAAACGCTAACACCCTAACTATAAATTTCATGATATTCTTCAAACACAAAGCACTAAAAGCACTGGTGATTCATATTATAATTTAAAAATATTTTAAAATTTTACAGATTACATATATCATTCCTCTTAAGAAATAATAAAAATAGTTTGATTTTCTGGAAGAAAATTACTGAAACAGAGCCCTTCTAATGTATCTACAACTTCTGCAATACTCCAAAACCAAAAGTAGAACAGACAATAAGGTAAGGATTCCACTGGAGTGTCTGAACTTTATGATGAGAAATGGTACTTGTGTTCCTGTGAATGCAGAGCTTAAAAGTGGCACCAAGATGCAGCTCTCTCAGCTGGCGTTACATGGCTTTCACTTTGATTTGCTTCATTTTCATTTGCTTCTTCTCCAACTTCTTTTGTTCACGCCTCAAAGCAGCTTCCTCCAGCCTGCGCTGTTTCTCAGGATCTTCCTCGTTCATGATCCGCTCCTTCTCGGCTCTTTTCTTTTCCTCACGTCGAGACTGTGCAGCTTCCTGCCTCTGCACATGAGTCAGCTTCAAGAAGTTCTCTTCTACTCGAGCGCGGTTCTTGTCAGCTTTTTGCTTGCCTTCTCTGTTGAGTCGGAACTTTTTGGCTTTATCAATAGAGTAAATCACCATGTTCATCAGGGGTAGTAAAGCCTCCATATCCTTTGGGTAAGTGTTACCTGAGCCAGGCACATTAAATGTAAACAATAGTGTCCTCTTAGTGTCCGGAAGCTTTAAAGGCTGACCTTCCTCTTGCATAATTTTTGGACCAGAGAACTGGTCTGAAAAATGAATGGATTCAATCTTGTCATCATAGTGTGTAAGAAAATGAACCATCTTTGAATCCATCATCCCTTCTGTGACTTCTCCCATCTCTGACAAGATGGCCATGGAGTCGGGTAGCCCATACTTTGGAGGCAAGGATTCTGACACTTTGTCTGACATACTTTAGGCATGTTGCAAGGAGGGATCAGTCGTAGAGAGGGATATCATGCTTGGAAGGGTGGAGGGACAGTGAGAGAGAGGAAGACCCTTAATGAGATGCATTGATTCGTGACTAGGGTAATGATTGTAGGTTTGTCAGAGACAATAAGATTGGCACAGGATAGAGCAATGTTCAGGGCTGTTGTACACAGGGTCACTATGAGTCGTAAGTAACTCGATGGCACATAACAACAGCAACAATAACAACATCGTGAAGTCCAGTGGTGAGAATTTTCTTGATGTTGAAATGCAATCCATGTTGAAGGTTGAATTCTTTGATCTTCTGCAGAAAGCATATCAACAACAGGGTGTACTGTGAGTGTTAGAAAAGTGATGCTGTAATTAATTACCATTTTTAGCGTGGATGGTATGGACAAGATGTCTGATTTCATTCAATCTCAGGTTGTTCATTTGCAAATGGGAATAATAATTTTATTTTTCTAATAATTGTTTAATTAATAATAATTTAAATGGATTTATATAGTGACTGCAAAGATGGGCTTGAGCATGGTAGAGATATGATGCAAAATAGGGCAAAGTTTCAAGCTGTTTACAAGGCCGCCTTGGGTTTTATCAGACTTGAAGGCACCTAACAATAACAACTTATTTACTTTAAAAATCATCTGTATATTCATATGTCTCAAAATCAATGTATAAAAAGAATTGCAGTGAAATCTCATTTCCATTCTGTAGTGGAGAAGAAACTATGTTTTCTGGGTGTTCTTTCAAAGGCATTTTGTACATGTGAGAGCAGATAAAAATATTTATTCTTCCATGAACAGCAGTATGCATTAATACTGTTCTGCATTTTAGTTAAAATATCTTGGTGATCTCTCTACTACAAAAGAGTGTCTCATAGTATGTCATCGTGTAGATGTTTTATAATTCATTTAGCTAGTCTTTATAGGTTTGGAGGTGTCCCAGGGTGGTACAAGTAGTTAAGCACTTGGGTACTTACTGAAAGATTGATGGATCAAATTACCTACAGTTGCCTTTGAAGAAAAAAGAAAAGTCTGGAGATCTGTGTGTTAAAAGCTCAGAGCCACGAAATTCTATGTGCAGTTCTACTCTGAAATACAAGGGGTTGTCTTGAGTCAGAATCCATTGGTTCACCGGTTGGTGAGACGGGGTTAGAGACCCGGGGTGGGGGTTCAAACAGTTAATAAGTTTCACTGCTAACTGAAAGGCTGAAGGTTTGAGTCCATCCAGAAGCTCCTGGAAAGATATGATAATCTACTTTTGAAAACTCAGTCAAGGAAAACTGTGGACCTGGAGTTAACCCAAGGATACTTCTTTCTCTAATTGTGATGCACTGAGGATTAACAAAAGAATCATGACGTTATCAAAATAAGATATTCAGTAAATATTTATTATTGCTTTTTAGATAAATTTCTACTTATTTCCTATAACCTATTGCATTATCCAAGGGCCTGGGCTTCGTTACTTGGTCATTCCATGTAAGTATACAGAGTGCCTACTGGCATACGCTTACAAATCATCCGCCCATGCTTTAAGCTTGTCTGTGTTTAAAGATCATAAAGTTTCAGTTCATGCCCTCTGGCAACATGCCATTAAATGTTTTTTTAAGCAAGTGTATCCTTTTAAGGGCTTCTTACACCTGAGTAGAGACAGAGGAAATATGTCACATTGAGGAAATATGTAGTATATAGCCTTTAATTGTTTTTGGTGAAACATTCTTCTAGGTCGTGTAACCCTGGTATGTCCACTTGCTGTACAAAGGTAACTCATGGTTGCTGTGAAGCCGAACACTGTGACACTGATGTGTCAAATGCGAGAATGGTTGGACAGTGTTTGGTGAGGCTCCCCGATTAAAACAAGCTTGGAAGCAGGAGTGGCATCCACTTCTGTAATAGCTTGTCTCCAGAAACCTTATGAACCTGGAGAACGGACCAAAGTTACACAGGTGTCCAGGTCTTTCATTCACAGTGTCGCTATGAGTTGCCTACTACTCGAGGTCACTTAACAACAACAAAATAGGGGAACAGAGGAAGTATTAGGAATTAGCTCAAGAGACTGTTGGCAAGGAAATACTAATACTTCAGAAATTAAAAACCTTGATACATAAAATACATTATTTTTCTCTTAGGGAAGTAATTAATGTAAGACCACTGTAGAAATCTGGACATTTTCTACTTTTCCTCCATGCATATTTTATACATATTAATGCCCAATATAAATACAAACACTTGTATGTTTTTGTGTGTATACAAATATAGGATGTATATTTCTATTTCTTACCAGTATTACTTTTTAAATTAATATTATAACAGCATTTTATCATAATTCTGAAGGGTTTCATAAGTATAATTTTTAATTGTTACATAATATTTTGCATAGTTCTTGGGAATAATGGAGCTCGTGAGACTGATGCAGGATAAGGTAGGGATTGGACCTAGTCTTTACAGGGTAGCTATGGGTCATAATTGACTTGATAGCACTTAACAAAAATAAAGGTACATTAGGATTTAGGAGATGATCTCTCAAAGTAGACACATAGGCTGCTTCTAACGTTCTGTTATTTAAACTAAGGTTTTGTTTTTTATATGTATGAATTAATGGGTGCAATGATAATAGAGAATTTTTGTTTGTTTTTGGTTTTTCTATTTTTTGTTTGTGTATCATCAAATCGGGTCTGACTGATACAGGGGGAGATTACCCCTCCTTCTCCAGCAGAACATCTAGTGGATTCAAACGCATACCTCTGGGATTGCAGTGCAGCTTCTTGCCACTAAGCTACCAGACCTCTCTTCATAATAGAGAATTTTTATCTAAATACTACTGATGTTCAGTTGGGATACAGACAAGGTCATATTTTGGTTCATATGAGTAGTTGATAGTCTGTTCCACATTCAGCCTCTGGCCTGGTTTTGATGACTGATATTGAGCTTCTCTACTGTCTCTCCATGGATGTAGTCAATCTGATTCCTGTGTAGCCCATCAAGTAAGGTCTATGTGTATAGTTCTGTTTGTGTTTTTAAAAAAATGTTTTGCAAGCAATAGATAATTCATGGTACAAAATCCCATTATGCCATCTTCACCCTCATTCAGTCCTTCTTTTTTACATGATTAACAAATTATAGCTAAAACTCTGAAGATTGCACTGGAGCGTAGAGAAGCCAAAGCATAAGGAAGAATTCAAGATACTAAAGAGC